TTTTGTTTATTATCTTGATTAAAGAAAATAAAATGTTTCTTTTGAGGAAGATCTTCTGAGACCAGGGTCAAAGACAGGTGGAACTGTTTGTTCCCCCTTGGGGTGACCCCTACAATAGTATGTTCTTGTCAGATACAACTGTCCCACATAGCAAAATGTGTCTGGCCCAGTTCTGGCCCACACAATGCACTAAGTCCTTAACAGTCGATCCAGACTCCACAAAGAATGATAACCCTGTGGTGGCCCTGATGTAGTTTGCCAGAGSTGGTCCAGGCCAGCACCACATAAACCAAAGTGGGGCCAGTTGTGGCATGCTGTCTTTAAAACAGTGTCATCACTGACAGACCTGGCCCACACCTGGTGGACAAACCACTTGTCATTCCAACAGTCAGCCAACATTACTTGAAACCAGAACTGGCCCACATCTGTCTGCAATGTGAACTTGTTCTGTCACATCTTTGCTGCTTTCTTACCTGATCTCATGGCCCTCCTGACATTTCTATGAAACAAACAACAATTCTGAGAAGTGATGCAAAGCAAGCTGCTCTGTTTCGTGTTAGCTGGCGTGACAAATTTTTAAATCTCTTTAGAGATAACGAAAACTAGAGTAGTGGTTAGGAATTTAGCTTTATTCCTTAAACCTTTGTGCATCTTAATGCTCAGTCTCTGACATACACACTATGAATTAGATAAAGTATCAGCAACACGCAGTACAAAGGCCCAACAGTCCATTGTGGTATATGGTGTGCGTGTGCTTGRCTTACACTGTGGGGATGTATTCTCCAGGGAAGGCATTAGAGGTGTAGCTGATAAGCAGACATGTTTTACCCACAGCCCTGAGAGGACAATTAAGACAGTAAGCAAAATACTAAGTAAGGTCCTTGTAACACTGCTTTATGACTCATTAAAACTTTCAACATATACTATAGTACTGGCATACAGTGAAATACTACCATTAATACTCTGCCAACAAGTCAACAAGTAAGACAAAAAATATAAAATAGTTCTCTTGTCAAACTACCAAGTTACCAAATAAACTGAAAAACTGAACTAGTCAAACAGTGGACATTTTTGACATCACAAATTAGCAAGTTTTTGTCAACTTTTAAGCCCAGCTAGTCAATAAGTGGACTCGTAGGATCATGCAGGACCATATTTATTGACTGATCAACTAATAAGGGCAGAAAAATCTCCACTAATGCAACTTTTGAACATTTTAGATAATAATAGTGAACTGGTCACTTATTTTGGCATCAACCTGTGGGATGAAAGTTATTTCAGTAACAGTAACACATATAAAACCATTGAGTTTAACTCAAAAACCTTTCTGAAGCAGCATCTTGTGTTTTTGTACTTGGTTAGTTTGAATGTGATAAAACACAAGGTGGTGCCGAAGAAGAATTTTTGCGTCAGTTGTGGCCAACAATAAAGTTAGTTTTATCCTGTCTTACATAATTTATTAAACAAACACGTGAAAAATCATGTATACTCCAATGAGCCATCAGGTCAAGTTTCAAGGTTTTTGTAGYGCTGCTGGCAGAACTAACATGTTCACAAATGTAATATTATGGCTAACATTTTTCTATGTCAGCAGCAATGAGCATTCATTAATCAGTTAGTGCAATGAAGGAGGAGGGAAAGTGAAAACTAATAAATTACATAACAATTGTCATCAAGTTCATGTTCAAGCATCTTTATTATCCCCAAGGCTCAATTTGTTGCAGTCAGTAGACATTAAACTGGATGTTGTAAATATAGTTTAATTTCCTCTAATAATAACCCAACTGAGTGATTGTGGAAAGAAAAAAAAAGTTTTTTACAGTCTTTCATTTCACCTTGTGCTGGAATTTAGCCCTAAAAGACCAACACAGGTGGTGTTGATATTAAAAACATTTCATTTTCCAGTTTAACATGAGCATTTTCAAATATTCAAATACTCACAGGTCAACCTAAAACTTACTTGGCCTTTAAATACTTCTAACTCACAAAGTGATGGAGTATTTAAACATTTAATAGAAGAAAAGAGCATTTGCTCTGACTTAATTTGATGTATTTTATTTTTGACTATAAAATGACCTCCTGTCATCTTTGGGTCAAAACGGCTTCATTTTGACTCAAAGGCAGCAGGAGGGTTAAATACATTCAAATACGAGATCACATCAGATAATAATGCCACCATCCATGTTGCTAACTGGATCAGCTCTAAACTATATGAGATTTAATTTCTCTAAATGAGCCAGACTGTTAGAAATAAAAGAGCTGAATGAACTTACCCATCCCCCACCACCACACACTTAATGGACTGCATCGATCAGCTCAGTTACAGTCAGACAAACTAGCAGCTAAAATAAACATGTCTTCTTTTCTCACAATGAGTAAGTGAACCTGCATCTACAATAACCCTGAGATATTCCTGAAAGAATGTTTCGCCTTCCCCCTTCTTATCAGCAGCAACATCTCCATGACAGGTGTTACTGGGAAGGAGGGAAAACTGGTTTCACCATGCTTGTTTTGTTTTTGTCTTACTGCTTATTCTCTTTTATTTTCAAACGGCTGTCAGGTATTAATCTGTCATTTCTGTAAAAAAAAAATGTATATATATATGTACAGAAACATTCAAGGATTCAAAGATGTATTCAAATTTTTTATAATGTTTACATTACTGGGTAAACCACTGAGTGCAAAGTACAGTTTTACATGAAATGATACTAATGATGATGTATTAATACAGACATCTTTAATATGGTTTCTATTRTTGCCATGTATACTTCATTCAAAATCACAACGCAGCTTCCTTCATCAGCCTAAAAGTAAATAAAACTATTCAGTTTTTGAGCACTGAAAAGCAAATTGTGACTCATCAACAAGGGATCTGAGGACAGAAAAGGCCTCTCCCAGACCCCGAACTTCAAACATTTTGTTTCCTGCATTGTTCCCTCTACATTTTGCGCAGTGTGCAGAAGTCTCATGCCATCGTTCCAGGCACGTTTTACAGCCAATGATGCTCTGACAACACAGAGCGAACATTGGTTGCTTGATGAACTCTGAAAACAAACGAGAAAAAAGGGGGGAAGTTACTATCATCTCCATCTTAAAATGCTGCTTTAAATGATGTAATGCATTAAAGCACCACTGGCAGTTACCAAATGTTTACAAGAGCTGATGCATTCTGGCCCACACCAAAGGCAACAGATCCAGTCACTAAATTTCTGCATACTTACTCTTACAAACAACACAGCAGAAGCCCTGCCTAATGGTCTGGAGCTGCGGAGGAGATACGGTGACTCTTTGAGAGGCAGCCAGATCACTGAGCTCTCTGATTGCAGCCGTGACATCTGGTAAYCTCTGTGACACCAGCAGAAGCTCCTGGATTTTCTTAGTGACCTCTTCAAGACCTGCAGCATCCTCGTGTCTTCTACTGGTCCTGGAACAGAAATAAAAATAATCTTGTCAATAGTTAAAGAGGTTGACAGTCTTTCCCACATTTTGCCCATTAATGTAAAAATGAACCAGAACAGTCACCTTTGACCTGTTTTGTCAGCAGAAGCTCTACGAGGAGCAGTTTGTGGAGTTATTGGACCCGAGGCTGCTGGTGGTTGCTTAAATGACTCCTTGAAGAACAAAAAAATAAATGGGAAAACACCTTTGAAGAGTCATCATGGTCACTGAGGTTTTCCACATTTTGTCATGTTACAACCACACACTTGAGCATATTTTACTGGGAATTTTATGTGATGGACCAAAACAAGTGGAAAGAAAATGATTAAATTTTTACATGTTTCTTACAAGTAAAGTAAAGGGTGGTTTGCATTTGTACTCAGGCCACAAGGTAAAATTCGGAGCAACCTTGGAGTGATTATATTTCCCCAGTTTTAGTCTCTCTCCATTGCCTCCATGTGAAAATCAGAATAGAATTTAAAATCTTACTTCTAACATACAAAGCTCTCAACAACCAAGCTCCATCTTATATTAAAGATTGTTCCATATTTTCAAAACAGAGCACTTCTCTTTCAGACTGTAGTTTTACTGAGAAAGGGTTCTCTGCAGCCTCAAAGTAGACATTTCTCAAGCATAAACACTGATTGGCTAGTTGTTTGTCTCTGTTTTGGTTCTTCTCTTTCATTTTCCTTTCACTTTTGACTTTAAGTACGTTCACATTTTAGCAGCCAATGTCTCAAAAAAAAACCCCACTACGGAGTGATGTTGCTCTTATTTTGAAATGTAACCCGGAGCTCTTTGTTAAAAGAAGTGGAAATAATGAATGAAGACGTCGGGTTCGACACTGGTGGCGTCTTCATATAAACATATAGAACTGACAGCAAAATCTGCCAGCTGTTATTATTCCCAAGTTTTCTAATTACCTCGGTAACTAAAAAAAATATGGAAGTCCGATGCRAGGGTAGAAAAGTAAACTAATGATATAAAGAAACGCCTAAACAACGGTCATCCAATCAGGTGGTGTGCTTGAGTAATGCCCCCTTTGTGCGTGTCCAATCAGGTGTGTCCCTTGAAAAATGCCTTCCTTTGGAAATGTCTGCAGAGATTTGGGTTTACTTYTGGTTCCTATAGTTTCTAAAAAGAATGGGAGGCAGAGTTTTCAGTTATCAAGCTCCTCTCAGGTGGAACCAACTTCCAGTTAATGTCCATGAGGCTGACACTTTTTTAAGACTAGAGTTAGGATTTTCGTTTTAGATCAATCCTATAGTTAGGCTTAGGTTTCCTGAGTTGTTCCTTAGTTTTGCCGCTATAGGTTTAGACTGCTGGAGGACAAACTGGCCACATTTCCTCACTCTGCTGCTGTCTTAAGTCACTTTCTGCTACGTGTTTGTTGTAATTATTTCTATCAGTAACATGTTTTTCTCAGAAGTCACCCAGATATTAAATAAATTCCAGCWGTGTCTGATTTATTTTCACTAGAAAAACATGAAGACAAAGGAACACACCAGACAGGTCAGGGGTAGTTAGCTAGAAGTTTTAACAGGGTCGGGTTGCAAGTTTTGAACATCTCATGGAGCTCTGTTATCTTCAAATGTACAGAGRAAGACACAACCGCTAACATCCCAAAACATGGCGGCCCACCTACACTGACAGCTGGGTCAAGAAGCAGAGAAYACCAGGCTGGCCGGGCGTCCTGGTGCGGCCTGGGCCYGGCCTTGGCTATCTGCTCCTCTCCACCTCAGAATGATTGGGTCTACCTCCTGGGTTTGGGTGTGTGCTGCCTCCAATAYTGGGTGGGTGCATGTCCTGGACCTGGGGGGTATAGAGTGTGTATCYGGGGTATGAGTGGAATGTGGCGTCRTTGTATGTCTTTGATTGAGTGGGGGTGAAGATGAAGGTGGGATGGTGTGATTGTGTATGTTTGGGTATTTGTCAGGCTGCGGTCTGGGCTGCCCCTTTTGCTGGTTTATCTGTGGGGCCCGCTGCTACTCGGCCCCCGGTGGGGTGTGCGGCTGGCCGCCGGCGTGCTGGGGGTTCCCGGGGTCTGGGGCTGGGGTGTGTGCCGGCCTGGCCTGGTGACTGCCTGCTGGGGCTCGGGGCCTCTGGACCTGTCAGGCTTTGGCCTGGAGGGGGTGCGCCCTGGGGGCCCAGACCTTTGTGCCCTTTCCTGGATCTGCTCTGGTATGGCGGGTACCGGTGGGGCCCATGAGTTTGTCGCTGCTGGCCCCGGGGGCTGTGCGTGTGGTCGCTGGGGTGACTCTCCCAGTTCTCCCCCATGGTCTGATCTGGGGGGTGGGGGGTCGGATCTTCCCGTGCGGGTGCCCCTTGGGGCTCTGCGCTCAGGATTCCTCTCAGGCCCTTGGGCTCTGGTCTTCCCTATGTCTGCCTCGTGTCTTGGGGGTTGGGTCTCCGATCCTCCACAGTCACTATTAAATATTCCATTGGAGAAATCTTGTAAATACACGCATGTTCACAACTGCTCACAGACAGGTGCTCTGATCCGGGGGTTCTGACAGGTCACTGAGTGTGTATATATGTCTGTGTGTATCTTTATATATGTATGGGTATGTGTATATATTTATACTATGCCCTCCATGTATCCATTTATTTTTCGGGTGAGCAGACAGATGTTGGGTGTGTGGTCCTGTGTTTTGTTGGTGTATTTTTGATTTACTTCTAATCGCTATTTCAATCTTTCTATCTTTCTAATAACTTCTCTCTCTCTCTGTTTAAAAAGAAAAAAAAGAAGCAGAGAAGACCCAAGATAACTCTGGAGGAACKGTCTGGTGTACTTCATCTAACTCACCGATTTAGTTGGTTGTGGGTTCGGTTTTGGGTTCAGGACCACCCTGATGGCTTCATCAAACACCCTCTTCAGGCTGTGTTTTGTCAAATTTGAGCACTCCACATATTTCACTGCACCTGGTTTCCAAAATAAAAACAGCAAACAAGAATTGGCAAGTTGGTTTAACATTCCTTTGCTTGGCATTATCATAATTTGTAAAAAGGTGTTTATCCCCCTCTGAACTCAAGGTCTTAGAAAACGTCTGGACTTCTAAACTCTCAGCCCCACCCAAAAACAGTTRAGCATCATCAGCATTTGAAGAAAGTGGAAACTGATGCATTTGAACCTTTTTTTTCTCCCTGGCTATTAAGGATGCTTAACATCTGAGCTAAAAATTGACTTTAGTTCTGGTTGATGTGGAGCTGGAACTGAAATAACTTCCATTCAAGAGTGGAAACACATTCAGTAGTGATTAAAACCTTTTTTTTTTCCCTTTCCGTTTGAATATACAATATAATTTTATTTATTTAAAGGGCAATTTTTAAAAACATACACAACTATAACTACTAGATCACACGACCTGTTTTTTTTTTTTTGGATATTTGTTGAGACTCATGAACCACTATACCAGTTTTGTAGTGATCATGTGGAGTCATCTTTCTAACTATTTAAACATGTTTGCTTCTCAAAGTTAATGTAAACATAGTTGCTATTTTAGTAAAAGTTAGAACTGGGGATTTATCTGCAGAAATACAGAAGAACATACAACACACTTGTCTGTATTAGTTCATATTTGGATCCACTACTGACCTATTTCTTTAGCCATAAACAAGCCTTGCTCACAGGTGATTGGAGACAGTTTCTTTTCTTTTAGCTCATTTATTGTGTCTTCATCATCTCTGAGGTCCAGCATGGTGCCCACCAGGATTATAGGAGCCTCTTTGCAGTGGTGTCTCACTTCGTTAACCCACTGCAGGAGGACAGATTGGGACTTGTAGTACAGACAGTATATGTGTTTTAATTTGGTATAAAGTACAATAAGAACAGTTAAATGGTTGTTCTCACCTTGGCACGAACGTTTTCAAAGGAAGATGGCATTGTCAGTGAAAAGCAAATTAGGAACACGTGCTGAGAGTGGGGGAAAAAGACAAAAATGTAACAGTATTTCAATTAAAAATCTAGCATTTGTCAGAGGAATTAAAAATCTAATAATAATTAGGTGAAGACATACATCCCCTGATTACTTTTTAAAATCAGAAGTTTTTCACCTGCTGGTCAAATCAAAGTGTTTCTGCTAACAGTGACACTGAACTGACGTGTGCACACGTGRACTCTGTGTAAACCCACCGCATCGGGGTAGGCCAGGGGTCTGAGCTTGTCGTAGTCCTCCTGTCCTGCTGTGTCCCACAGACCCAGACTCACTGGTTTCCCATCTATCATCATGTGTGCATAGTAGATTTCGAAGCTGCAGAGAGGGGAGGGGAGAGCTACACATTTAACCTGACTTGGTGAATTACTGCTCAATGTAACAAAATACGCATTCTGGGTTCCAGTCAAATACATTTGAAAAAAAAAAAATCAACAATCAAATGGTTACAGCTGGATGGACATCTAATTCCTTTGATGCACTTTGAGAACTTCATGTCATTTAATGCTTTATTTTTGCATAAATTACATTGATTGTTCAAATAAAGTTGGAGGGGGTGATGTCTACAGAAAATTGAGTCATGTGTCTTCTGTGGAATACAGATACAGACATTTAGATACAGTTTAACAGTGTGAGTCTTACACTGTGGGGACGTATTCTGCAGGGATGGCATCGGTGGTGTAGTTGATGAGCAGACAGGTTTTACCCACAGCCCTGAGAGGATAAATGAGAGAATAGTGAGAACAGTAGTTTGGTATAATGCACTATCTGAGTCAGAAAAACATTTGACTTTATGATACTGCTTCATAAGTCTTCATTGTAGTTTTATTCAGTGTGACCAGTTTTACACGACAAGCAAACATAGTAAACAAGTATTGGTTTAACACAGGGCAAAGGCTGAGTAATTTAAAAAAAGGCCAACATGTAAGAACTAAGGATGTTTACATTTTTCCAGTCATTCAACTAGAAAGACCAAAAGTCTTCTAGTTATGAGAAAAGTTTTTGTCACTACTTCACCAGACAGACCGTTTGATTCAAACTAAAAAAAAGGTATTGAAGGTATTAAATGAAAAGTTTGTCAGTTCCATGTGAAAGTCATGCAAGTTGAATGAAGA